GCACGAACGGTTACCCCGAAAAGTAATAGCAAGCTATAAACAAGTGGATCTTTCAAGTTATACTGATGGGAGTGTACTTTTAGGGCGGAGATCTGGCTCAGGAAAATCGATAGCGACCCGGAGGAAAGGCTTGACCTTGTTCAACGGATGATTTTTCCGGAAAGAGCATGCTAAAATAAACAGTTAATATATTCGTTGAATCACTGATTCGAGTTGCAAATATCTGAAAAAATCAGAGAAACGGATGTCTTTAAGCCTTTAAATTTATTTTGCTCGTTTCCGATCCTATTTCGAGCCTGACAAGGGAACCACCCGAGGTCGAGGTGGCGTTTCGTTATGGGACCCGGCCTATTTTGTGCAGAATTTTTCGCTGATTCCGAATCCGCTGCTCATTTTTGCCAAATAGCTCGTTTTAAAAAGTTATAGCGCTTCAAAGTTCCATTTTTTTCCCAAATTTGTCAACTTCAAAGCCAATTATTTTGCATTTCCCTGCTGATTCATCAAAAACCAATATTGCCATCGTATTCAGAAAATTTTTCTCTATCGAATAAACTATTGAACTCAAAATTGTTGGAAATCGAAAAAATCGACGATACTTGGTATGGACTTCGTTTTTTGTATGGGAAATGGTGAAAAACAGGCTATTTCACACTCCCGTAAGTGATCATCGATAGGCAGTAGCGCAGTAATTAAATATACCATTCGGATCAGAAAAAAATTCTCTACAAGATAGGCTATTTAAAATGGATTGGCATATTAAAACAAAAAAGTTGGACATCGTGACAGATGACCGCCCGCGGGCTCAAATATGATCTTAAAATTGTCGTAACTTTTTAAATCGGGCTATTTGGCAAAAATTGAAAGCGGGTTCGGAATCAGCAAAAAATTCTGCACAAAATGGGCTGGGTCCCATAACGAAACGCCACGCCGCCAAGGTGGTTCCCTTGTGAGTCCTAAGGTTTATCGATAATTAGGACAATTTCAGACGTGTGTTTTTTCACTTAAATTATGAATTTAAGAGTTCAAGTTGCCTTCAAAAAATCGCCACCGTTCTTTTGAGGCCCAGCAACGTGCAGTTCCCCATCCTCTATTGACTTTTGTGTTTTTCTTGCAGTGTTAGCTCAAAAACCAACGAAACCTGGTCCCGCAACTGTTGTTTGCGGAACGAAAATTACTCAGCATTAGCGGGAGAACTTTCAAAAGATGATTGCAGCGCTTTCACTGCGTCAGGAAGTACACAGCTTCAGGTTTCTACTCTGCAAAATTTAATTTTTCTTACTCATCGTGTTTTTGGAGTTAAATCTTAGCTGAAGAAATTTTTAGGAACTGTTTTCGGGGTTCCAAACTGCGTAAATATCGATGATCTGTCACGGTTATTTTTGGCTCCCGGCCAGCGCGGGGATTTTTCTGGGGATGCGATTGACGCGCTTTGCAGGGAGCCTAGGTTGATGTGTCATCGCGGCAACACGATCTGTTTCAAAACACGCTCATACTCCTGGAAATTTTGAGCAAATCGGACAAAATAAAGAGAAGGCTTGTTGAACCAAAGCTATTATGTATGCCTAAGCCTACGCCTAATTCTAAGCCTAAGCCTAAGCCTTGTAAGCCTAAGCCAAAATCCTGAGCCTGGGCCTGAGCCTAAGCCTAAGTCTCATCCTAAGCCTCATCCTAAGCCTGAGGCCCGCCTGAATCTAAACCTCAGGTTTAAGCCTAAGCCTAAGCGTAAGCCTAAGCGTAAGCCTAAGTCTAGCCTAAGCCTACGCCTTCTTTCACAAAGCTCCGGTCGTCACGTTCCCCTCAAGCTTGTACTTATTGCCTCAAGCGCACGTATCTTTTTTACTAGCTTGCCCTCTTATAAATTTCACGATCTTCGCACCTTCCAATACCTCCCCAGGCGCACGTCAACTTTCCAGAGATCTGCCACGCAACATTCCCCCGGTTACGCATACGCTTTTTAATTCAAGTATCCCATAAATTCGAGGGGCCGTTAAGGAAATTACCGAGCGTCAAACGACGCCGCTTGGCTGCCCTAAAAATACAGCGTCAGGGCCTATTTTTAGGTATCGCTGGTTCTTTTTGTTCGCCCCTGGGGGTTGTTGACAAACTGGGCGCGCGGCCAATTCTACGCCAGCCTCACCACCCACACCTACAAAGCTAAAAGAGTGTAGTAGGCACTAAAAAGAGCTCGGCAAAGCGCTGGGAATGGCATGGCTAACCCAATTCCAGCGCCTCGAAATTACCTGAGTTCGCGCATACGCGGGACTGTTAATAGTATTACGCGGAGCTCAAGCCAAAATATTGGCTAACGGCAATATTTTGGCTTGCCCGGCTTGTCCACGTCTTCTGGAGGTGACCTATCTGGGTCGGTCGATTCGATTATTCCGACCCCGCCCCGTTTCGCCCCCGACTTCGGGGAGTTCGATTGCTATATAGGCGCCGGGGATGGGGGTTAGGGCACCAAAGCATTGCGATTGCGATCCAATACATGAACAGCATCTCCTTCTCCTCATCTACTGACTTTTCCATCGTCTACAACGGGGGCCAAGTCGACGCCGATGACTACACGCTTATGTACCCGCTGCTTGCCTAAAATGCGGATATTTTCCATTCTACCGTACTCATCGTCTCACGATTCAACGGACGATCAGCCCTGTACTTCTGAATTGCAACTGTTTCTACCGTGTCCTTCATCGACTACCGAATTCCGCCACGATTCGACTTTTTCAACACGATCTCACGAATTCACCCAACGATTTTTGGACTCTACTTCTACACCACCTGTTTTATCCGACACTACTCTACGCACCCATCAACGCGCTATTTTATGACGATAACCAACAATCGTAGCTTCAACTTGTAGTACTTTCTTTGTCATCATCATTTTCTGTTGATCTCTACAACCCTGATGTGCCTTCCCCTCTTCGAACATACGAGTGTTTACCCTCCCGCTGTCTTTTAAACGAAACCTTACGGGTTCTTTGTTGAATAAAATATGAAAACAATACCTTGGCTGATCTGATTACACTAGAATCAACAACAAAATACACTACTGAATTCTAAACGTGCCTAAATCTTGCTCGGTACAATACCGCGATTTTTTTAATGTTTCTTGACCGGCTTTCTGAACTCTGAAGCTATAAATTATTACAGCATAAATTAAGGATCACCTGAATGAATGAAAGCTTTTGTTTGTAATTATCCGGTTTCAATCATCAAAAAAATCTTTATGAATTGTTGTATGCTTTCGTCCGCACCAGCCGTCCTCAGGCTCACGTTAATGCGCCACCATCCCCTTTCTCGGCTGACGCAAATGTCGCCATACCTATGCAGGAAGAAACATGTCCTCCGGGCAAGCATTGACAAAAGCTTCCCCCGATTTCATCCACTCAATTATTTTTTATGTTAATTTCTAGTTCCAAAAATTCTATATCTTCCTCACTACCTGTCTCGCTCTCGGTCTCTCTCTCTCACTCTCTCACTCTCTCTCTCACTCTCTCTCACTCTCTCTCTCTCTCTCTCTCTCTCTCTCTCTCTCTCTTTCTTTCTTTCTCTGTCTCATATTTTGCCTGTCTCCTCTCAGTGGCCTGATCTGCAGAACGAAAGTTTACTCACTCTCCAAAGATAATTTTTTTTACTATACCTTGCGTTTGAGCAAACGAAATCGGTGTGTCCCTAAAATTTCCCGATAATGGAACTTGCAGCTAGATCTCGTGCTAAATCCCATTTTCTCGATAATCTACCCTTGCGGCAAACCGACATAAGAAACAAGATGAAAGACAGAACTTATGGCATGTTTTATTACCTCGACCATTCATTTTGCATCTGAGGTTAAGCGGATTTTTACTTTGTGTTATAATGCGGAAATTGCCGTCGCGGCAAACGTCGGGCACTCAATCCTATTACGCGTACTGCCGTCCCCAGGTTAAGATTTTGGCTGGGAGACCTTCGTCTTTAGAAGCTTGACCTATTCGGGTCGTTAATACGTTTATATAAACCACGCCCCTTTTCGCCCCCGATTTCGGGCTGTTCGATTGCTATATAGGCACCCGGGATGGGGAGTAAGGTACCACAGCTACCTGCTTGCGATTTAATATATGCACAGCATCTCTTCATCATTTACTGACTTTTCCATCGTCTGCAACGGAGGCCAAGTCGACGCCGATGACTACACGCTTATGTACCCGTTGCTTGCTTAAAATCCGGATATTTTCAATTCCACCGTGCTCATCGATTTACTACTTAAATGAAGATCAACCTCACATCTCCAAAATGTTGATATTGCTACCATATCCATCAACAACTCAAGAATTCCGCCACGATTCAACGTTTTCTATACGATCTCAGATCTTCACGACGCGACTTATCGACTCTACTTCTGCACGACTCGCTTTATCCTACACTACCCTAAACTCCTATCTACGCCCACCCTTGTGACATTACGTCAATGACGTAGTTGAAGAAAACGTATAAGTTTTTTTATATTGCTTTGGTTTCTGACAAAATGTTGTGCCTTTGCTTTGTTTGACCTACGAGTATTGCTTGTTCATCTTTCTTTAAGGCGTATCTTACGGGTTTAATAAATACTTCAGAAATATATTTGCCTTTTAGACACCTGGCTACGTAATGAAAACACTGAATTTAAGAATACGATCTAATTTAAACATGTCTTGTCTTGCCTACAAGGAGCGAAAAATTTTGTCAATTGTGCCCGTTTAGCAAAAATAATCAAAAATTTATCAAATAAATATTTTATCAAAAAAATTGCTACAACCACGTCAAAATGGCTATCAAAATAGCTAGGAAAATAGAAGCTCTTGTCGTTGATTTTGTTGTGGTGGCAGGTCCAACCGAAGTGCTACCAATAGAAGAACCACCCGGACTGTCGGTTTTTTTGGATGCTGTAGATCCAGGACCGGCCGTAACTATCGTTACTGGAGCCCCAGTTACGGTGGGTCCAGCGTTAGTCGGATTCGTGGTCACAGAAGCCTGTGTCGGTGTTAGGGTCGTTGGATCTGGTACGATCTCGCCGTCCTCCTAAAAATTGGTATCTTAAAGAGGAGCAAAAGCGCAAAAAATTAAAAGCATTATATAATTCTCGTTAAGTTACCTTTTGGCTTGTTTGTATAAGCGAGACCTACCGTATACTGACTATACATTGGTATTCTATTAGTATGCATCAGGAAAGAATCTGAATAATTCTTGCCACCCAGGAAGTTTGCGATTGCAAAGAGTGTCGGAATTGGGCGATCTCGTCCCGGATTCGCGCCAGCTCCCTAAAAAAGGATAAATTGTTTCCAGCGTAGACCCGACTGGCCAATCCAGAAATTCCCTAAAAAGAAAAACATATCTATAGCATGTATACCTTAACGGTAATGAAATCCACATCAGCCTTCGAGTTAGCAGTCTGGTATCGAGTTAAGAATCCCATCGCTCCTGGCGTTTCATACCAGAAGCCGTTGCGTTCTTGAGCGACAACCTACAAATATATCTCACTTCTGCTCTCTCTCGCTATCTCGCTCTCATTCATTCTCTCCCTCTATCGTTCTCTTCACTCTCTTTCTCTTTCGCTCTCTCTCTCTCTCTCTCTCTCTCTCGCTCTGTCGCTCTCTGTCTCTCTCTGTCTCTTTCTCTCTCTCTATCTCTCTCTCTTTCTTACCAAGTTCCCAGCATCCACAAGGGCTTGCAAGAAGCTCTCAGATTCCCGATGGTTGTTGCTGTAGTCGGCGTCGCCGTTTAAGAAAAGTAGCCTGATATCCAACTATCGATTTTTTTTCACTAAATCTACCTTAACGGAATCATAGCACTCGTCAACTGCTTATAGATTTCCATCGTTGAATTATACTCTCGGGTATATCCGATCCCACTGGTGCTAGAAAAATTCGATTCAATGGTAGTTACTATGATATTGTTATAATTTCACATTTTGCTCTCGCAAATACACCTACCTGCAAAACTCGAATTCTGGGACAAATTCCGGTATGTGAAGCGCCTCCCGGACATATTCTCGATTTACAAAATCGCTGGCACTTTCTAGCATATAGCATGGGAAGCCGCCATTGGAATCCGTTGAGAGAGGTATGTAGTCGTACTTTAAAGGCATCAATAAATACAGTGCGAGCATACCGGGCTTCCCTTTGCCTTTTCAGCGTCGTTTTTGGGCTTCTTGAAATCGAAGACATAGCAATCGCCGTAGGTGCCCGTGATACGCTTTTGGAGACTAAAATTACTGTCTATATGCATGCTAAGGATTGGAGTGAAGCTAGCCTAAGCCAAAGGGTAAGTCTAAGCCTAAGCCTAAGTAAATAAACTAATTTGGGTTACTTCTACTTACACCTGATTTTGCATCCTCTGAAGCACATCACCACATTTTGCCATCTCCGGATTCTCGAAGGGCTTCACGACAGGTATTCCTAAAAACAACCATTTTACGGTAAGAGTCTAGAAACCCCCCCCCCCCCCAGCCGGTCTTTTGTATCTCGGCCCCCTTTTGTGCTAGCGAGCTCTAAAGTATACCAAAATGTTCGCCGTAGGCTAATTAATAAGACTACATTGCAGTTTAGTCGAAAAAAGTAGCGAAAAATAAAAATAAGGAAGTTAGAAAAGTTGAAAAGTCGGCTGGGGGGGGGGGGGGTTTCCTAGACTTGAGCCCATTTTACTGGAAGCGAGGACAAGAAAAATTAGAGAATTCGTTCCCTACCAGTGCTGTAGTCAAAGAAGATGGCAAAGTCGCAATCCGACGAGTTATATTCTCGCTTCAGCGTATCGCAACAGTTTTGGAGCTGGTCGTAGCCGCTGGAAATGGACAGAACTTTGTTGTAAATACAAAAAAAATAGAATGTTGTAGTGCGCACTTATCCATCATGAAGCCCCGATAATATTGATCATAGGCAAGTGCGCGGACCTATGTGATTCAAAATATAGCATAAAATTGGCTTTATTGTACCTGTCGCATCAGATCGAGCTGTCCGTTAACCGAAATTACACCGGCAAGTGGAATATTCGTCCTTCCGGTCTAGAAAAAAGTCTATCTTTAGAGTCTGCGTTAAAATTTGAAGGTATAAATATTTCGATCTGGAAATTGTTACAAATTTAATTAAAATTGTATCACCTCCAATTTTTGTGTAATGTCCGCAGCCAACGCAGCAGCCACCACAGCGGCATAGCCCTGACCGGCCAGATACACCGGACGATTAGCAAAATTCGGATACGACTTCCGGAATGCGGTTAGAGCATCGAATAGCTGTCCAACGGTCGCGGTATCGTTACTCGGACCTGAAGCCGCCTTTTGGTATGCGAATCCTCCCGTCGAGGGCACGTCAATAAAGAGCAGATTTGCATATTTGTTCCAAGAGAAGCGGTTCTCGAAGACGGTCGCTCCATACTGGTTTGGGAAGAACGGTCCGATCTCGGTGAAGAGGCCTGCAAATAAATGATAAGGAGATAAACTTAATCCGAAGCCTAAGCCTAAATTAAGCTTTTTTACCTCTCAAATTTGAGCAACCAGGCTCACTATTTAACCATAGCACGATCGGATCGCTATAGGGAAGGTTTTGAGACTCCAGGAACCTATAAAAGTCGATAAAACTAAAACCTTCAAGTTATTTCTTACCAATAATGAGCATACGAATCCGATTGCAAATTCAGATAGCCAGAATAATGGGTAAAATTCAATGGCCACGTCACGCCCGGCAAGAAATAGACGGTGTCCTGGGCGGGGATTGAGACTGAAAATCAATAATTTAACGATGACTGCCATTTTTTCTGACATTTAAAGGTCTAGCTGAAATGTCAAAAATCATTGGTAATGCCTTAAAAACAAAACGTTCAAAGACTTACCATCCGGTGCTGGATTGACATAACTCTGGTCGAGCGGTTGAGGATCGATCGAATACGGGAATTTCGAGCTCATATCCTGGTCCATGATGAAGTTGTAAAGGAGCTGAAGCCCTGGACCCGGACGGTCGAGTGGCACCATGTGGCCGGCTCCCTAGATAACGCCCTTTTAGCCGTAAATTATATAAATATACCTTAACGGTCATGTAGTCTATAGTAGCTGATGCTCCAGTGCCTTGTTTGTGGTACCCTGCCTTGATGGTCTCCGAGCTAAAGGAGTGATGACAGGAGAAAGAGGGAGAGAGAGAGAGAGAGAGAGAGAGAGAGCGAGAGAGAGAGAAAGAGAGAAAGCGAGAAAAAAAGATTTAAATACACACTCATTCCTCCCAGCCATCGAATAATACCATGGCGCTCGGGCCTTGGTTCGAGTAAAATTGTTCGCAGCTGCCAAATTCTCGTCAAACCATTCGGCCATTAAATATTGGCACCCCATATCGACATCTCCTTCGAAATGCAGGATTCGGACTTGAGTGTTAAGTTGAGCAGCTGAAAGGCATCGGTTTGTGGGATTTTTCGCAATTTTAAAGGGACATTGAAGTTAGCGGTCCATACAATCGTTTCCTGATGTGACCGAGAACAATATAGACAGTTCATTTTTGTGTACTATATCTTGGAAATTTCTCATTTCTCATGCCCCACCTTGCATAAAAATCGACTCGTAGACGGGCTCCATAGCAAAATGAGTCTGGATATACTGACGGTCGAGGTAGCGGCTAAAGAATGACCTTAATCTTTAGGTACATTGTCTTAGTGAGTTATCCAGTTTAATACCTACTAGCATGAATGATACTCCCGAGTGTTCAACCCAACATGGAAAGCCTCTCGCACTTCCGGTTGATTCAAATAATCCGCCTGGTCGCCCCAGAAGTAGAAACCCCAGTTGAAGCCGGTGTAGTCTTTGTCGATTTTGGACTGAAAGGTGGTTTATCGAGTTAGTATTCTCTCTCGCTCTCTCCCTCGCTCTCTCTCTCTCTTGAAAACCTACAGTCTGATCAATAAAATTCATCGAATTTCTCAATGGTTGTGCCTCACGCTTCTTCCGGGAGTTTGGTGGGTTTGGTTGGACCCTTGGGGAATAGTTGTCTTGATAAGTGTTGTAGTAATTATTTCTATAACCACGTCAATTTAGCTCGTTCAGTAATGAGTTATTACCCGGAATACCAGGTATCGTCGTAGCCCTGTTCTACTACCCATTTTCCACATTGCCCGGAGGTGGTATCGTCATCAACCTAGAAGGATGTTTTTGAGCTTGAGCCTAAGCCTTAGCCTAGCCTAAACCTAAGCCTAAGCCAGCTTACCAAAGGATAGGGATACCCAGCCGAATCGATCCCAACATAGCTCTGAAAGTCGTAGTACGTCATTGGGTTCGAGATGTTGCCCCAAGCACAGTTTTTCAGCCGATCGTACTCGCTAAAATATTTAAGCTATTCAAACCATGTAATTGAAGTCTACTCTAACATCAACATACTCTTTCCCTCGCATGCCTCGATAGTACGACAACGAAATTGCAGAGTTAATCTGCAGATGCTCATTGTGGATCCCGTTTCCAATCGCGAATCCTTTGAAATTGACGTTCAGCAGGTCGCCGGTCTATAAAAATCGAGGGTGCAAACTTAGAAATGCTTTCTAAGATGTTCTAGTAAATGCAAATCGAGTTCCGATCAATAATTTTTGCGATTTTATGCGCAACGTACCAATTTTCTTTTCAGCAACTCGTCAGCAGTGGTGGGTAGGTAGACACCACAGTAGGACTCGCCTTAAAGTATAAAATAACGCCGAGATTTGCGTTTATAAGTGCTTAAAACTCCTACTGTTAGAACCAACCAGTAAAGTAGAAGTCTCGGCCGTCATACTCCGGATAACGTTGGTAGAAGGATTTTATGGCCAAGACGACGTCAACGGCTGTCTGAAATGACAATTGTAATATTTATTTCGCTTTGAATAGGTTCTTTAAATTGTACTTACCTTATTGTCATTCCACTCATTATCATCCGGAACGTTATTCGCTCGATAGGAGAAGCCGACATCACGTGGGGACTCGATCCAGAGGATGTTGGCAAACTGAAAAGCACTCGATCAACTCAACTTTGATAGATAAAGTAAAGGTAAGTTGGCACAAAGTGCAAATGGAGGCACAAAGTGTTTATGTTATACCTTATTCCACGAGAATACGTTCTCGTACACCGATTTCATGTCGAAGTTGATGCGGAAGGGTCCTGAATAAGTATGTTCTAATTCGTGGTATGCAAATTTTAGGTGGTTACGAAGCACCGCTTTATGCTTTAATAGTCAATTCTGATAGCATACCATTCTCTGTAAACAATCCAATAAGCCCAGAACATCCGGGTCCTCCATTCGACCACAACAGCAGTGGATCCTTTGAAGGGTTGTTTTGCGATTCCGTCAACCTAAGGATACCGTAATTTTGAGCCTATCGTTATTCCTTACACGTAATAAATATAATTCCCGTCAGACGCATTCAGATACCCAGCATAGGTCTTGAAGTTCGGTTGGAAGGATGCGAACGGGATCTTTGGGACATTGTCTTGCTCCTTGGTCGTCGGGGCTGGTGGTGGAGGAGCTGGTTTTGGCTGAAAAGGTAGAAAAACTTCATTAAAAAAAAGTTTCTAATACGGAAATTCTCCAAAACAGATATATGATACGTTAAATGGATATTTTCTCCACTTACCCAGGGTTGCTCGGGAGGAGAACTTCTCTTGGTCCTTCGATGAGCTCCAGAATCGCCAGCGTTCATTTTTGCGGCCTGAAAGTACGAGAATTTGCTCTTTCTCTCTCACTCTCTCCCACTTTCGCGAGCTTTCTTTCCTCCCTATTTCTCTCACCTGTTTCTTGACCTGATACTCCTCCAATAACGGCGTATCGGCGTCATTTATCAAAAACGGCGTATTGAAATCCCGTCCCGCTAAGAAATTTGCATACATCTGAAGAGCAGGCCCAGCTCTGTCAAGTGGCACCAGGTGACCGGCACCCTAAATAGTGCTTGAGTTTGTTCTATTCATTTCCAAACTTTAACAGTAGTGTACTCAACGCTCAATTTCCCATTCGAAGACATAAATCGCTTGTTGTAGCCGGCGTTTCGGGTACGGTAGCTGAAGAAAAGTTAGGCAAAGCTATGGAAACTTACATCCATGGTCCATAGGTCTTATCGATGTGCATCGAGTTTCTCTTCGCCAAGTCTTCGACGAACCATTGGATTCCCATGAAAATTGAGGAGGAATCGATGTCGCCGTTGTAGAATAGGAGACGGAGTGGCTTGCCGTTCGCTGCGCTAAAACTCGTGTAATTTTCGGAAAAAGCAGCCCAGCCAATGGCCAACCCTACGCCTGACCACCCACTCGCCACACAGCTGGCCCACTAGGATAAGGTATGAGTGCTCCCGAAATGGAATAAATTATAGTTGTAAGCCTAAGCCTAAGCCTAAGCCTAAGCCTAAGCCTAAGCCTAAGCCAAGCCTAACCCGGCGGACTAACCTCATCACTGCATCAATCAGCGGATCCAACTCCTGATATCCGCGTCGGTATTTTTGTTGTATTGTGGCACTAAACATAGAGAATCAGAGGCCTGTATTTTCTGAATCCTACCTGCACTCGGTCCAATTTATATTACTGTTCGATACATGAAGAGCCTCTTTCACTTCTTTCCGATTCAACCATTTCGAGGCTGCGTTATTGGCATAGCAGGGGGAATCCTCCCAGGTTGTCGGTGACGTCGATGGGAGCGCTTAGCTAAAGGTATCTATAGAAAAAGCCCTAGGACTGGGTCTTACAGCCAAATTAGCATAGTAGCGTCCTTTGAACTTCGTTTTGTCAATGTGGTTAGAGATTCCACTCCAAAGTTGCGAGCCATAGAGAGTCGTTGATTGGGTATAGCAATCTTCATACATGTTAAGGGCGTGGTTACTGAAAATCAAGAGATCAGCTGGGAGAGAGAGCGAGAGAGAGAGACAGAAAGGGAGGCAGAGAGACACAGATAGACGAAGAAGAAGACGAAACCCACATTCTATCTTCAATCCTCTCCCTCAAAAATCGGCCAATCGTCTGGGCGCACGTCGAGTTGTCTTTCGGACTGACCGCTCCGTTATCCCATGTCATGTAGACCGAGAAGTCACAATATTCGTACCACGACGGATCCGAGTCCGACTGATTACAGCATGGAATTAGGCTTTCCCATTCTCTAAAATGAGTTCGATAACGCTTTTTTTCTTTGTCGCTCTCTCTCTTTTTCTCTCTCTCTCTCATCTTACTTACTTCTTCCCGAGTTGACCATGGAAATAAAGATAATGAATTGCAGAATTGATCTGTCGCTTCACACTAACATGCCCATTTCCGAATCCAATCCCTTGAAGGTTGAAATTGCCCTAAAATACCTTTGACTGCCTTTTATAAGAAATTACAGTAGTATCGGCCAGTATTCTTTCAGACGTCAAGGCCGCAAAAATGGCTGCGTAGCTTTCACCGAATAGGAAAAGTTGACGCTGCTTATATTCCGGGAATACGGTATAAAAATCTTGTAGGGCGGAGAAAATTTCGGCGGCCGTCTAAAGGTTTAAAGGTTTTTAAAGGGGCTAGCAGGTTGCGTCATACCGTAAGATCCGTTTGCTGCATGACAACCTCATTATCGTCGTTCCGGAATGAGAAGCCGGTGCCGTAGGGGGCGTCAAGGTAGAGGACGTTGGCCATCTGAAAACGTAGAAGTTAAGAGAGCGAGAGAGAGAGAGAGGGAGAGAGAGAGAGAGCGAGAGAAAGCTACTCACATACCTTATTCCACGAATACACATTCTCAAAAACCGTCTTCCCATCCGGATTCACCCGGAAAGGTCCGTTTTCCGTCAAAAGCGCTCCCATCCCACTGCATCCGGGACCGCCAGTCAACCACAACACTAGCGGATCGGAAGCCGGGTTTCCTTGCGATTCCAGGAACCTAAAAAACTTAAATTTCTTCTACTTAATCTAGCCAATATTACCAATAATGTACGGCCGTCTTGACACCACCAGCATTTCCATGTAGGTATCCACTGTACTGCTTGAAGTTGACGGGCACGGTCATTGCCGGTAGCCACCAGACTCGATCGGCTTGCTTGCGGGTCCCTAAAAGAAACAAAGATGGATAAATTTAGCTTGAAATCGCTGCTTGATAGACATTTTTTTAGGTAAAGGCTTCCGAAACTCGCTCGCTTAGGCTCAAAAAAAGGAAAAACCCAGTTTTTTGCTGTCTTTACTTCATTTTATGAGAACTTCGACTCACATTGCCTATCCGGTCCGGCAAACGGTATCTTGTAGGGCTGTGGTTTGTCGGAAAGTCCAGGAGGCTCTTGGAAAAGGAACCTCGTGAGCATCTGGAGCACAGCATCCGGACGATCGTACCCAAGCAAGTGGCCGGCACCCTAGAACAATTGAATAAAATTGATCAACGTTGTTCTCAATAAAGAAATAATGTGTATTAAATTAAATGAACAATAAATAACAAAAATAACCGCATTATACCTTGACCATCAGGAATGAAATCTCTGAGCCGGCCTTCGTGAACATAGACCGCCCCATACCGCCTTCCACCTGATACAGCGAGTCGGTGATGAACTCCCATCTCTCGCGACCGAATAGTATACCCTTAATTTTGGCTTTAGTTTTTTGGTCAAATCGAAAGTCACCTACGTCGACACGCGTCGAAAACTTTTTCAAAAATTCCTCGCTGGCCAGGTATGGGACTCCAAGGTCAAGGTCACCGTGAAGGATCAAAATTCCAATTTTACTAAAGGGATTCTTCTAATAAAAGGTAACAATATTGCCGTGTTTGCTCGTATTGGTTGATCAACGCCTGTAGGTCGTCGCTAACGTCCGCGCTAACCGGGTTGTTCAGCGGCCACTCGGAGAAGCTGCAAGGAATTATAAGAACAGGCAAAGGATTGGCCTCCAGCATAGAAAACTCTAACTTACTCGCCACAGAAAAGTGCAGAATTTACTTTGCTCCACGACATATAGCTTCGCAGACGAGTCCGGAAGTCGCAGATGTAGCCGCCGGAGGTATCAGTCGAATAGGGATTGACCCGAGACTAGAAAAATTAATATCTCTCTCTCTCTCTCTCTCTCTTTCTCACTCTCTCTCCCTCACTCTCTCTATCCTCAACTTACCCCATGGTCAAAGAACGCATTCGTTCCGTTGTTAAAAACGTCAGGCCTGGCGCCATCAGTATTGCGGCTGCGCACCGATCGCTTCGACCGTTTGGACTAAAATTTTATGTCTAGGCTTAGGTTTAGGTTTCGGCTTCCGTTTAGGACTAGCTGAGGCTTAGGCATAGGCTTAAGCTTCGGCGCTGGCTTACGTTTATGCTAACTCACCGCATCCCCGGTCTGCCATGTCGTGTAGCAATCCGTGTACTGATTGTCCGTCGATTGATCGTTACTGTAATTTCAGATTGGAATGTCTAAGGTTTTCAAACTTACTCTTCGCTAACCAGGCAGTCGATGGCTATGGATGCCGCCTTTTTGGCACACCATTGCTGTACTGGATCCGTGAAATTTTTGGCTTCCGGAAAGCCTGCAAAGCCATAGGTAAGCATTAAATTTTTGAATTGCTTGCCAAACTGATCGACGTACACATACTGCGCAAAGTCACAGTATTCCAGACCATTCGGGCAGCATTGAGTAAGGTTTTTGTAGTCTCTGAATGATGAATATTTCTTCCATTATCTTTTTTTAGGTAAACGAATTAGAAGACAGCTGAATTTTTTGATTTTTAGTTTTTTAAGAATCGTATTTGACTTTCGCTAAAGCCATTGAAAAAGAAAGAAAATAGAAGAACAGGAAAACAATAATTTCGGTTTGAACCTACTTTATCGAGCTCCACCCATCGTAATATTGCATATGGGGAGCAGCATCTACCAATGAGCTGATGCTCAGCAACGGGCCGGTAAAAATCAGGCCGCCGAAAGTTTGATTCTGCAGAGAAATGGGTAAATCTTTTCAACTTTTAATCCTTACAAATCTCGGGTCCATCGCCGCGCGAATCGCCACTGGGGTCGCATAGCCGCCGGCTAAAGTATGCGTGATTTAAATTATCCTTTTTGATGTAGCTTTACAGATAAAAAATTGCTGATTATCAACAGTTATTAAATACCTAAAAACTAGCGATGTGATTGCGTTTCGCTATTCGTTACAAAAACTCATTAACTCTTACCTGCAAAATAGACCATATTGGTTTGATAGCTCGGGTTTTCCGTCAGAAATTTTGTCACAAAATTGTTAATCAGAGCGACAAACTAAAAACTCTCAATATCTGGTGCTCCTCGAAAAACACCTTGTCCATTCCCTCAAAGAACGTCATCGATAGGTCGAGGAATAGGACGTTGGAGATCTAAAGTTCAGAGGTTTTCTAATGCTTGAAAGAAATAAGCAAGCTAAATCTCAGCAAGACCAGAAAATCGTGATTACCTTGTTCCAGGAATAAACGTTTTCGAGAAGTACTGTATGGTCCCGGCCAATACGGTATGGTCCAATATCGGCAAAAACAGATCTAGCCGGGCCGCACGGGCCAGCGTCGCCGAGGTAGATGATCAGCGGGTCGGATTGGTTATTTTGAGATGAGGTGAACCTAAAAAAAACTCGTAATTCTTTTTAAACTTTTAGATCTTTTCGTCATGTTTAAAAAAAATAAAGTTAAAATAACGGCGTAATGCTTGCTAGTTGCGAAAGGCTAATTATCAACTTCCCCAAATTGTCTCTGCTAGCTATCAGGTGCGGTTATAGCCGCCTAAATGCTCTCTGCTAGAATTCGCGACTCAAAAACGGTTATTTTCATTTAGTCAAAGATCATTTTGTGGAAACATCTTGTCGAGATATAATTTGTCAAAATGGCAATGCTTTTTTTCACCTTTATTTTTAGTCTCAAAGTTTCGCATAATGAAATTTCAGCGCCTTGAAATTTTTACTTAATGGGAATTCGACGAACTGCTTCCAAATAATTCCAAATGCTGTCTAAAATGAGCATTGCTAGTTAGCGGATCGAAAATACCATCTAAAATTGCTTATGCGAAACCGTTTTAACAAACGGTCTCCGCTAGTTGTCGCCTGGAGTCTTCCAAATCGTGATTTGGCTTTAGTCCGTCGTTATGTTCCGAATTTTGCCAAAACTCACCAATATCCAATCCCACTCCCGCCAGACCCATAGCAAAGTCGAAAATTCGGGTCCCAGCTTTGCCCAGGTAGCTTCGTAAAATTACATTCAGCATCTACAGCAGCCCCGAGTAATAATAATAAATAGAGAAGTAGCTCTCCTCTTCCGGGGGCCATTTCGAGGAGCTTAGAAAGTGAATTACTCGCCGATTAGCGGCTTTTCGGCTCCTCAGCCGATCAGCCGTGTCGCAGCGTGGCGGGGCCGTGGTGATAAGGAGCGCGTATTTTTGGGGTGGGCAGCAAAATGGAATAAAAATCCCGTAATTCCCGTGATTTGTCAGCGGAAATGACCATTGCCCGCTGTAGGATGTGATTTGCAGCTTGGATTGGAGCAAAAAAAACTCGATTTTTGCATGACGTTTCTTGGGCTGGAATAAACTAACCGGTTAGAATCGCTAAAAAATTAGAAATTGCATTCATGAACTATCCGAGGTAACTTTTTGTCGTTTTGGTGTCGTTGTTTTGGTGGGGACCATGTCGATTTTTTCGAAACTTCGAGTCAGCCCGTGTGAATTTCGCCCTCGACGATTCAATCCAGCTTGGAAGGTTGATTCCGATGTGCTAACTGGCATATCTCAAAAATCGCGTTTGCGTTTTTTACGATTTTTTTTTTGAAATTGCAACTAGGCACCCGGCCGGCCCTTCATCGGTTGTGCCTTCCGAGGCTCATTGGGCGAGAAATCAACCTTGCCAAAGCGTTCGGGGAGATGACTTTCGGGAAAATCACTTTTCCGGGAAATGACTGGCACCCTTTCGAGAGAATCGTGGAATTGGGGCCAAGCTAATGCAGAATTGCGCGGGAAAGCTCGACATCTGTCAACCTCTAGAGGTCAGAGCCATCTTTTTGGGTTGGTTTCCTGACTCGCCCCCCACCTGGCCCACTGCCTGTGGATACCTTCCCTCCCCGATCCGTTCATAAACTTACCTGGCTGGGGGGGTTCCCGTGATCATCAAGACGGGACCCCTATGGCAAGGCTTGGCCATTGCACTTCTCGGCCGGGCTGACCTGTAAGGCAGCTCCGAGTTGGGGTTCGCCTACAGCTAAATTTTTGAGTGAGGGGCTGCGTTCGCGCGGCCCTGAAAATCAATTCTAACCGGAACGCTTTTTAGAGTACGTCTGGTAACCCTTAAAAATTTTCCGTGGTCCCCATCTTCGGTAAACTTCTCCCTCCACCCTCACCTTTATCGTACCCGGATTAACCTTCCAGGTCCACCCTCACCTTTAATTTTTTCGGTATTTTTTGGGTCACACGGCAGATCAACACCCTAATCACCAGATCGCCCCGGCGGCAATTAGGGCCCGATATTCATTTTTCACATCTTCTTTTTTGATTATTTCCCGTAATCCTGGGGGTTGATCCGCTCCACCCTCGCACTCCCGCGGTCAACATGACTTTTTATTCACGTTTTCGGACCACGCGCTAATCCCCTCCTTCGCTCCCCCCGCCAGGTTCACGATTGTCTACACAGAATTGTGAGCAAAACTGGACCTTAGGTCGGGTTTCCATATGCCGTCGTCGCCTACCGTTTGTCTGTTCGAAATCAGAGTCTTCAGAAAAATAAAATCTGGCATATGGCAAAGGTCTAGCGCAAAATAAGAAAATTTAGAAATTTTATCGTTTTTGTTTACGATTTCGATTGATTATGTCGATAAGAGTATTCCGAACAGAAAAATTCGTTGCAGGTTTTCGACGTTAGGGTTCTGAAACGGAGCGTTTAATGAATTTTTTTCGTTGCGCTATTGATCCGAACATTTAGCTTCAAAATACGGGTCATCAAAAATGGCGGGTAAAATTTATTCAGCATGTAGCGCAAAAACCACAATTGAAGAATTTACTTTTGTATGAGTTTTCGCTGTTTTTTTATTATTTACGGTACCGGAAATTATACAATTCAATAGCGCGTTGACTGAAATAAAGCTGAACTTGCATGGCTACCATATTCGAGGCCCTGTGACCCTACAATGATCTCTTAAAAGCAGATACTGCCAATTGTTGAGTTCAATACGCTACAAAATTATACATTAATCTGTAGGTTCACCAGCAAAGCTATGGATTTTACAAAGCGCATAACAATCTTATAAAACTTCAGTCAGCACGGTCGACTTTGCAAAATTTAGCAGGAATTATGAAAATGAAAAAATAAACGACAGTTTAATTTGTATCATGAATTTTTGGTCGATTACCTCAAAAACTTGTCATGTTCGGTTAAATGACTGTGTTGGCCAAAAACCATTCTTGTTAAAAAATGTTAATTGTCGAGGGCTGTGGCGGAGGGCGGGAATTAAATTGCCGAGCACATGCGTACATGTACTTTTTTTGGAGAACCACGTCCCAGCCATTAGTCAAGCCCAATGGTTACTGTATCATTCCTCCAGGGACTGGTTGCAGAGTAATGAATGGGAAAGTACAATTATACTGATTTGATAAGCTTATATAGAGCTTTCCGGCCCTGAATAAGTCATTGACGGAGCCATACATTCCGCAGTTAATTTTATGGATATCGGGCATATTTTCAAGATTTTGTATACAGTATTTACTGAATGTAGAGGCTACTAGCGCCATGTGGGCTCTTTGAGTGTTCTTTGCCACGCGACCCACTAGCCCCCCATCTGGACGTCTCTTGCCCCCAAAGTGCGCGCCATTCCCTCCGTTCCTCACCTCTGGTTCGTGTGCATTTGACCGAGAAAATCTTTCGCCTTTTACTAAAGATTTCCGTGCACACGAACAATTATGAGTATACGCTAATTTTTGGAGCCCCCTCGAGAGAGCGGGGCAAAAATCATCAAAATCGCGGTAATAATATTAGTACTATTAAGTAAGATAGGCACAGCAAAAGATTAACTTTGGATGGATAGGAGCTTTCAAAAATCCTCACTGTAAGGCCGCATAAAGCTTGAAACTCAATAAATGCATATCCCCCGTTGATAGATCGATTTCCCTATGGGCGGTGAGGTCTTCAGACGGATCGGAACCTAGAAACTGTCCCACTTCTTTGACTTGAGTATACATCATTTCGAGCCGCTATAGCGCTTCAGTTAGAATTGCTTTTCAGGGCCGCGCGAACGCAGCCCCTCACTCAAAAATTTAGCTGTAGGCGAACCCCAACTCGGAGCTGCCTTACAGGTCAGCCCGGCCGAGAAGTGCAATGGCCAAGCCTCGCCATAGGGGTCCCGTCTTGATGATCACGGGAACCCCCCAGCCAGGTAAGTTTATGAACGGATGGGAGAGGGAAGGTATCCACAGGCAGTGGGCCAGGCGGGGGGCGAGTTGGGACGCCAACACGTACAAAAGTGCGGGAACGGCCGACATCGGCTGACCTCTGGTTTCAACGGGATTTCTTTTCTAACGCTCAGGGCGGATGGTTTCAACGTCATCTGTCAACCTCTGGAGTTCAGAGCCATCTTTTTGGGTTGGTTTCCTATTAGGATGGTGACTGATGGTTTTGATCGACAATTGGATCGTTGGTCTGATCTCAAATACCTCAAGCCCCCCAGGTTCTTTAATTCTTTTTCTGTTTCTCTCCCTTTAAAGTTTCTTTTTCCAGTTTTCCATGATCCAAGACGTTAACCGGCAGTGAACCGTTTTTTGCTCATCCCCAGCACTTTTTCAGCCGATCCCCGCACCCGCAAAATTCACTCGCGCGTCCATCGAGCGTATTTCGGGGGCTGGGGGTGGGAAACGTCGGTGTTGGCTGAGAGTGCGAGACCGAGGCAGCGTGCCGCTCACATGAACTGTGCGATACACCACCCAGGGGCTCCCCATTGCATCAGCCGCCCTGGCGAGCGTGGCATGCTATGAGACTTCCAGCAATGCTCAGAATTGTCTAGCTGAATACAAATCGCACAGGCTCATCACTGGAAAAGCACAGCTAGCAGACACATACGAAAAGCACCGGGGAGTTCCCGATTCCGACGGGCTACACGGGACACTTTGATAACAACGTGGACCCGGTGATCGCTCGCGGGAAGTAGACTGCCTACGCTGACGAGGGCAACACACTTTTGATGAGCTGGTGGGGAGGAGGGGGGGGGCGAAGGTCGGTGGGATGGGCTCTGGAGTGATCGGCAGAACTTGCTTTGCCACATTTTCGAGGCTTCATGTAGGAAAGATCGCAAGATCGCCTAGATTTTCAAGCGGATATGGGGTACGAAAAGTGTCTTCTGAAGGCCTGACGCTTAAAGTCGTTTTGATATGCACTATCTATTAACACTAGCATAAAATCCGCGAAGATCGGAAATCCTCATTCAGCCAAAACGAGCCACTCATTCGAAGCCGCTTGAAACGCTGATTCCGATGTGCTTCCGATGTGCTGTAACGTCACATTTTTAATTTTTACGATTTTCTTTGGAAATTGCAACTAGGGACCGCGCAGGCCCCACCTTCTCATCGGCCATTCCTTCCTAGTACCTCACCAGGCCTATTAGACATTTTCAACACAGAATTTGATTAGCATTTAAAAGTGCATCAAGAATAGTGCCGAAATTCGTTTGTTTCGAGACCTTGGGCCCTGGTTGCCGCGATTTTTTGAAATGTCGGCTTTTGATGGTTTTCGGCAACGGAGGGATCGAGCAAATTTACACAAACGAATAACGCTCATCAATTACACAATGAAAATTTAGGCACATGTCGCGTTACAGGTCGGTTGTGTTACGGTTTCACTAAGCAGGGATTCCAAGTTCTTGCCTTGCTGGTCACATTAAACAACTTTAATTTTGCTTCCCTTCCTTAGTTTTTGGCTTGGATTTTGTTTTGAAGAAGACAAACGAACGTAGAAACCTGGAGATTCAATGATCACTGCCGAAACCTATAATCCGACTCGTTCCCTCTTCCAAACATCCCCAGAAACGTTCTTTGAAACCGGTTACTCAACCGATCGCCTCTTCCTGTTTTCTGAAACCCCGTAAAATTCCAATAATCGTGACCTATTACCCAATTTTCTCTTTTTTTTCCGGTGAGTTGATCTACGAGAAGCCCCAGATTCGGGTCGGAGGATCCTACTATATATAAAAAAATAGTGTTTGTGTGTGTGTGTGTGTGCCACTTTGCATGCAACTTCCGTCAGCGTGTTCCAGCAGTATCTCAAGAAGGAGCGTAGCTAGGTGCATGTTTGATACA